CGCTCAATGTACAGAAATGTGAATGCTTGTGTAACTAAAAAACATATAACCTTACTGCTATAGGACAATTTGGTATAGGATAAATGATTACAAGCAAGCCAGACACTAATGCATTCATAAAGCTTTCCCATTTCAACAATCCAACCACAACACATGCTACCCACTCCATTTGTGACCTGTCTTATAACTAAGGACACAAAATAGTTGCAATCAAATCTTCTATTCCAAGAAGGAAAGAAAGATTACAAGCTATACTGTGCCAACATTTTAACTCTGAAATCACTGCTGAGGTATCTATATGCTGCTTTGTGAATAAACTTATTTCTATTGGTATTCTTATTTCTTAGACCACACCTGACAACCTGACCTTTATTTGCATCTGAATCATTTGCCGGTAGCGATAWCCCACCAGACATCACACTAGTTTGCTGATTTCTAACAACTCTGATTCCTTTGTAAATAGAAAACCTCCCCATATCCAAATGCAGTGATTCTGTCATGGCGGAAACTGCCTTCCRCTGTGAAGAAAAAAGCAGGCTGGAATCAGAAGCTCAATGAGGACACCTCAGTCATTTCAGTTCTTCCTATTCTCTTAACTGACTACAGTCTCTGTATGAATGATCAGATGCTTAAGTCATTGCGATGAACTGGAATTCTCATCCAGCTGAGGACAGAGGAGTTTTATAATCACAACTGACTKCTCTTCAGTTTTTCACTCCTGCTATGCATGTCGCTCCTCTGCACAAAGTCAGAGGCTGTCTGCCTTGCACCATCATGGGACACTTTACAGTTTCTGTTATTCTACCTAGTTGATACTCTACACTGAGGAATCTGCCTAATCACAGTAACATATGAATAATCAAACTAGAAACAACCATCTTTCTTTCTCTCTCCCTCTTTCCTTGCTGTTAGAATTGCAGCAAATAAGAAACTGTTTCTCTTCTGCAAGTTTAAGCTTTTAATGCTCGRGAGAGGGAAACAACAAAGGAAACACTGTTATTTGAAAAATTGTAATTTTTCAGTTTCAAAGGATAGCTCTGAAAAGCTATTTCACAGTGTCAAGGAAAACAGGAGTTTAATCAAAGACCAATTTCAATCAACTTGCTGCTTAGTGTTTCTGATGCAATGTTTTTTCATTTAGTATTATTTACATTTTCTCCGCATTAACATTCAAAATCCTCAAGTTGTTCATCTGCATGAACATGGAATTTCAACCCTCCTCTTGCTAAAACATCCAAAACTGCGGAGGGGAGAGAACAAGAGGTCAGAGAAAAGTAACTTGAAACTTTTGAGAGGGGAGAAAAAGCTTTTTATGAATAACAACATCTTTCTCTATAGGTTAGAAGAGTCCTTGTCCTCAAAAGAACTGTCAGATTTTTATCTATCCTCTGTTTATGTTGGGAGGGTCTCAGTTTATCTCTCCCAAGTCTACTTTTAAGCATCATATAAACAAAAGTCTATTACAGCTATTGAAGAATAATGAGTTCTACTGATGCCTGCAAGAGAAATGGTGAGAAAAGATAAGGGGACAAGCCAAGAAAAKGGGTGCTGAGGGGGGAAGACTAACCTTTAAAGATTGCGTGGAAAAATGGAGAGAGAGACTGAAATTCAAGTGAATGCTTACAACCTCAGCATAACAATAACAACGCTCCATAAAAAAGCCTCTCCAAGGCTAAGGCATCCCTTCACATTTCAAGTCCTGGCCCCAGTTCAGCAAAGTACTTAAGCCCGTGAGGAGCATCATTGAACTCAACCTATGTCAATGAGGTTGGCTCATATGCTTAAATTTAAGCATGTACTTTAGCTCTTTGTTGGATCAAAGCCTCAGACCTTCTAGAATATGGTTACCCTGCAAGCAAGGAGTATCTGCCAGGCACAATCATCTTTCTGATATGCAGGAGATATCCATTGCCAGTCGTGTAGCAGGTCTTGTGATGCTAGATGAAGCAGTTATCTACAGCACATCAGATGGCACATTTTTACCATGCAGACAAACACTAAATTGAGTACTAGTCACTTGGACTTGAGTATTGGAGAATTCAAGAGCTGTGAGAGTACTCGGAGCTGTGAGTYTGCAATACGTTTGCTGGAAACTAGGTCCTTAAAGGTCCTTCAGTGGCTGTTATAGTTTAGCATTCTTCTGGGACATCTTGCATATCCAGCACCACAGCCCACAGAAAATTTGTGTTTAATTTCTGCATGTAATCCACAATCCTCTAATATGGAGCATCTTCCACTTCGATGAAGTGCCATTCTGGAAAACAAAAGTGCATGACTTGCCCCCTCCCTCCCTGTCTGCACTACAAAATACTGTACCTTTACTTCTTTCTCCAAAAATGAAGCAAACACAAACCCAGAAATAGAAGTCTTTCAGCAGAGACCCCCCCAATATTCCCTCAGAGACAAACAAGAGCACACTTTTTGCTGCTTTCCTTAGGAAAAACAAAAGGAAACATCCTAAAACATCCTAGTTAGTCTCCTAGGACTACTAGGAAAGCTGTTTGCGTGACTTGCGTCACCTGCAGCTTCCTCAGATTTCAAGTCTATGAATGAAGGAGTTTTGGAATTTGCTTCAGAAATTTCTGGAAGACAGAAAGTGCAACTTCAGAAGAACGATGACAAAAACAATGACAAAACATAAAAATGGTCAGATAAACCCTGGAAAATTAATTCAGTATTAGAATCAAACTCTTAATAGTTTATGCTAAAAAGATAATGCAGGATTTTTTAGACTCAAGTGTTTAATATCATATATATTAACACCTGATATATATGCTTTAACATAAAACCACAGTGTTTGGTTCTGTTTTCAGAGTGAGAGGATTTGTACCAGCTTATACTCTGAGCTTAAAACTATTTGTCAGATGTTAAGATTTGTATGTGTGCTACTTATAACCAATTTAAAAAACTACATATATATATGTATGCATATATATACACACACACATATATATATCTATAAAACACACACACACCTCTATATGTATTTATATGTATTTGAAATACAGAAAGTATTTCTGTATTTCAGATGAATAAATCTAAATGAACTYGAAGGTCATTTTAGATTACAATGTTTTTAAATTTTATAAGATGTCCACAGTCTTGGACTTAATTAGCACTTATTGGAGTAATTGCATCGGTACCAGGATAAAGATTTCATATTGCTGATATCCATAAAAAATTCTAAACAAAGATATTTCCTACTCTGTGATGAGTGTCATGATTCCGACTCGAGACACTTCCCATCTTTTGCCTGCATACGTGCACGCACACACTCACAGAGCAGATGTGAAAGTCACAAGTCTCTAATCTAATTCATGCTCCAGTTTAGCAATGATGAGGGTATGCTGAAGACAACACTGCAACTAACATRGCCAATAAATTCCTAAGAGAATAAGACAGATTGTTAACAGTGCTGAGAAACTCTTCCGCTGGGTTATTATCCCATAGAGATAATCGGTCTACACAGCCTTAACCAAACAAACAGCTCTGAGAAACTATATATATTCCCTCTGAGCAAAGGAAATACATAAAAGCAGCTTGAAGTGCACATGATACTGTCAGTGAAGCACTCTGACTTTTTCCTGCTTTTTACATCAGATTAGAGTTTCTGTACTCCCAAAGGAAACTAAGTACTGGCTGGATAAAAGAGAAAGTCCCACTTATCGCACTGTTATTGTTTCTCAGCTGGCTCGATTCTCTGCAGGGCAGGATTGAGGCATGGGCACCAGTAGTGACTGTAACAGCTGCCAGAACACAATGCAGTGGCAAATGGACACCCGTTGAAAAGATTTACACGTGCCACCCTCTGCTGACATGCACAAGAAGAAAACTGAAAGGAAAATTCCTTGAAAAATGTGTTTCCTTGTAGCTTAATCGAGCTCCTTGAACTAATGGGAAAGTTAAAGACGTAATCTAGTCCCATGACATGGAAAGCCAGAAACAAAGTAAAACGCTACCTGATTAATGGCTTAAGATGTTGGAGATTACACAACTGTCAGCTTCCTTTTTCACCACCTTTGTACACTGCCTAAAGCAATTTTGCCCTCATAACCCAAGGTCAAAATCAGCACGGTAACACTTTCCCATATCACGAAGTAATGGACAGAAGCTGTTTCCTCAGCAGCCTGTATCCAAGCAAATAAAGTTAAGAGGGTAGGTGTAATGAACAGARTTCTGTGACTAAGAAGCAAGGCTACAACTCAACTGCTGGCACTCCCACAGATTTCCCAATTCAGTCTTCTGTGCTTCTTTTTTTTTTTCCCTGAAAAAATAATATCAAAAATAATTCTGTGCCACGTTTCTTATATACTGAATGATTAGCATAGTTAACACTCTTGCACTTTGAAGTTCATTAATTACTGTGAATCCCTATTCCCCAATACATTTATATAACCCCAGAGTATCCCTTAAGAGAACATTGGATAGCATCACTCACCTGCATTGTTACACAGCAGATGGCTGCAACCCGCAGGCAGTGGGAAGCCAGAGCAGCAGGAGCACATGCTGCTGCGATTTCCCCTCTGGTGCTAATCCTGATGCATTTGGATAGTCTCTTGGTTACAAGTCTACAGCAAGAGCTAGCAAGGGAAGTACAAGGGAGCAGCTGCACTCTGTAGCTTACCCACTAAACCATGAACACAGGGTTGCCAATAATAATAATAAAAAAATCAGTAGGAGGTAACTGCCACTRAAGTTGGTGAATACTCTGTACTGCACACAGTCTATTCTCTTTCACTTCCAGATTAGTATTCTTTAAGAACTGGCCTATTTGCAGCAGATGTACTCAGAAACCTGAGTATTTCAGCTGATGAATTATTATTACTATGTAGAAAACCCCCCAAAATAGGAAACAAGACTTCTTGCATTTGGCAAAATCAATTTTATTTATGGATTCATTATAAGAGTTAAAAATTTAAACATTCTAACATGGGTACCCTGCCAGACGTGTTAACTGATGGAACAATACTGCAAAGTGAAGTAAAGCTAAAATAATTATGCATTTCCATAGAAGTAGAGAGTTCTCAGAAATGTATTTGCTATTTTTTTTGTGTCACAAAAATGAGGATTTGCCAGCGCTGAGAAAGTAAGACAGCTTCAGTGGGAACTTGGTATGCCAGAGGAATATAAACTTTTGCTCTCATTAGCCCAGATAAGAAAAAGCTAAACATAGTATAAAGACCACTACACAAACTGGCAAATACAATGCCTTTGCATAGCTGTTCTGAAGTCTGGTATTTCAAGAGGTTTATGAAAACATTCTTCTGATTATATAACAAAATTACTACACTTTGTTTCTTGCCTTCTATATCTAGAACTCCAGGGTGTAGAATAGATCAGATTTTATGGCCAATTAATGTTAAATACAGCATTAGCTTGAACCTATTTTTTTTTATTTTTTAAAGTTTTGGTGGGCTTGTATTACTTATATATCTGTGTATATCTTTAGGTATTATTATCTACGGAATACAATCACATTTCCAAAGACAGCTCTTGATAATATAAAGAAGTGACTAAGTCTACAGTTTTAATCAGACTTACTTGATGAAGATRGGTTAATATAGATTCTGTGGTCTAGAGGGCGTTAGATAAGCAGAAGACAAGTAGCACCTGATAGTAAAGTTTTATAATTTGTGTCTTCTATAGAGTTTACTTTTGTAAACAGTTTCACTGAGAACAAAGTACCTAAGTACAGACTGTGAATCACACTCAGTGTTTTTCACTGCAGGAGCCATCTCCATGACTAGTATGAAGACTGAGAAGTATAAATGCAACAGCATATAATGATTTTATCTGGAATACTTGCTAGTTAAGGAAAATGGACAAAATTTATTTTGCTAGCAGAAAAGATCCCTTATACAATATAAGCATCACCAAAAATACTAGCACACACACAATATATAGGTCACAGAATCAAACATTAGAGACCTGCAGGAAGATTAGAGAGAACAGATACATCCCCATATACATCCCYATTTCCCCATGGAAAAATACATACAGAGTAAAAATATAATCCTTTGCCACCCGAGCTAGCCTGTACACATGTAATCACAAATGTTGTACAAGGAAACAGGCATCTGTATTCAAATTACTTTTGTCATTCTGGTGTCCATTCCTAGGAAAAGTGGAAGACAGTTTGCAAAATTTGGCCCTCCAAAATGGAGGAAAACTTTGACTTCTCACAGACCAAACGCAGCTCATTGGCAGACTCTCTCAGTGGTCTCAATCTATTGCTGTATGTTTATAGAAAGATTTGCAGTTACTCAAATTACCTGAAGAAGCTCAAGTCTCTAGTTCCATTTTTCAGATCTGATTGTTCATATTTCTTTCAAATGAAGATGGATTCTACACAGCTGCTGCCTTGATTAATTTACAGAGCATCAGGGTTCCACAAGGAAAAGGCTTCATTTCTCTGATGTGGCCTTCTTTATTTTAAAAAAAAGTCCTGACAAAAACAACAGAAAATGAAAAAAAAAAAACCAGCTGCAATTAGCTGTAGCATATTTTTTAAAATTTGGTTTTATTTGTCTTTCTGGTAAGTACAGTTTTGCTGCCAAATTAACTGTTAGTAACTGTTAATTTTATACAACTCAATCTCAGCTCATTTTGGTCTATAAGTAACAACTGAGAAGACCACAAATGCTTCATGAAACAATCCTAACTGTCTTTTCTAGGTATCTATGGCTGTACTTAACAGAAATGACATCAGAGAGAAAGTATACATAGTAAATCGAGTTTGTGAAACAAGGATAATTTTGGGACAAACTCAAAATATAGTGATGAATACAGGCCAATTGCAGTGAAAGACAAAAGGACATGAACATTTGTTTACATGCACACAGCAGTGTAATACAAATGGAAACTTGTTCTTTGGACAAGCCTTACGAAGTAATTTTCTTCACAAGCCACAGCAGTGGTCCTCAGATAAGGAGAAAAGGAACAAAGAGATTGCCTAGGCAGGGCCTATTTGTAGTTAGGTGGATGAGGAACCAATTCTCTAGAGGACCTCCAGGGGACATTATGAAACTAAATACTTAAATTTCGTTAGGACAGACATGGCAGAAGCCCAAAGAACACTCAAACATACCAGGAACAAACGCAAAAGGAGGCATGCAATGCACAGGCAAACACATGCTGGAAAGTAACGCAGCCTCACAATGGACAGACATGTTAACCCAGGTCTGGCTATTCACCATGAGGGAACACTGCAGTGGCTACAGCTGCAGGAGATACCCTTGTCTGTACACAGGTGCACTGCCTTCAAAAACCTTTCTGTGTGTGTTGGGACTGACTGTTGATGAGGGAATARTACGGCTAAATATACAGAATATGAAAACACAAATAACAACGACAGTTATTTCCATGTTTGTCAGCTTAGGTACAGGTATTAAACACAATTTTACAGCAATCTGCAGTGGGTGTTAGCCACGAAAACTATAYTGATTTAGAACAGCTAATAATCTAGCACTCTGCATAGAGGAGCTCAGGTTAACAGGGACTGCAAAGTCCACCCTTCATTACCATTTCCCTCCACCATTTTACTTGGCAGTAAGAGTATGTCAAATCTTTTCTTCAGTTAAGTTAGAAAACAAAAGTCTTGCTTTGGAAAGCTAGTTGTATCAGCTTGATTCATCTATCAATCTTTAAGACACAGATTATTCTGAACTGATTATCTCTAAAAGGAGGAGTCTTTCAGAATGTCACAAATTGCCAAAAGAACTGAACCACTTAGTCCTTTTGAAAATGCTGCAGTCAGTTTGGTTAGTTCATTTAGACAAATGTAATAACTGTGATTTAACAACAACGACAGAATTAAATCTCTGGGTATGATGATGAATGTTTGTAGCCATATATTACCCCAAATTATGACCCATGGGACCACAGTAAAGGATCCAGACTTGAAATAGGCAATTTCTCCAAAAACATCCTCAAACTGAAAACAAGAACATGTGGCCACGTGTAACCAATTTTGAGATTTGCCATTTCAAAGAGTCTGGGAACCACTGCTGTACTGCATAAGAGCTAATTAAACAACCATGTGATGCACAAGGTTATGTAGTCAACAATAAGTATTTTAAATATTATCTACCTGACAAAGGAAAATGGAACAGATTACTGTTACTAGCCATTTAATCCCCACTTAATAAGAAAGTTTATGTACTTACATTTCATCATCATATTCTTTTGGAGGTGACACTGCAATGACTAAGTCAATCCAATCCTGCAACAGAAAGGCACAGATGTGTGCGGCTAAATATCTACTCATAACAAGCTCTTAAACTAGTAATTTCAAAAAAATCATCTTATATTTGCAATAATTTCTAGYTTAGGAACTACTTCTTTCCAAGTGAGCAATTAGTACTTTTTTTTGAAGAGAAAATGCTCTTGTACATGAAGTGCAATGTTATTTGTACATTATTTCTCAAGGATTAGATAAACTAAAATGTTATCAAAGAGTTCCTAGCAGCTTCCAAATAATTTTTGATATTAAAGAGATAGATATTCCAAAGATAAATATACTATAAACACTCAAGAAGTAATGTGTCTAAATAAAGATCTTGACACATGGGTAAACGTCATCAACTTTCAGAGTGAATTATGGGCATGATTTTCAGAGCTGATACATACCAATATCTTTTGCATACATCAGCTCACTTCAGTGATGGACGGCATAGCTACACTTTTAACCTCTGCCACCCTATTTGTATTGATGTGGCAAAACATCATGAAACAAAAATACACATTATCCTAGAATTGTTGGCTGAATGGAAAAAATAGGCCCAGCTRCTTACCCCTCCCATGTTCCAAGCTTTTGCTAGAGTTGCCTGTGCTTCCGCCAGCGTGTCATCAACTAAAATCTTGCCGTTTATAGCCAGTATTTCATCTCCTTTCACTATACCTCCTGGTGAAAGGCAAACAGGGCACATATACAGTAGTAAGCAAAATCATTTCTGCATCAGTTCTCTCTGTCTCATATTTATTTAGTAGTCACTACTGCACAGTACTAAACACTATATTGAAAAGCAGCTTCACTAGCTGCCTGGGTTTATGCTAGAAGTTGACATAGATGAGAAGGTTTGCTATAGGCAAAAGAAAAATGAAGCTTTAGGTATGGAAGATACAATCTTCTCTTAGKGATCATGACCCACAAGACACTAATTCACTGAAATTTTCTGAAGCAGCAGTTTGTTCATGTAACCCATCAATACAGCTTATAAATTCTGGTAGGTTGTAGGCTGTTACTACCATGAAAATGGCAGCGTTACTCAAATATCTCAATGTATCATCAGATTTGTCACGGGTTTGCCAGACTGTCATGCCTCTGCAAAAGAATGCACAGTGTTTAGTCCTTGCAACATTTAGTGACTTGCTAATCTGGAATGAAACACAACCAGATATCTGGGACTGGATTTGAAGATGGGAGAATGAAGGGGAAGCCTCAGTAATAATTTAAAAAAGCCACAGTAGAGCAAGAATCAGAGAGGAACAAGGCACTTGGGGCTGAGAAGATTTGACAGTAAGAGCAACTTAAACTCAGCAGGAGGTCTGGTCAAGGTTAAAGAGACACAAACTAGAGCGATATTGCCCTGCCCACCTACTTGATGATACGAGGACACTTCTCGGGAAAGATGAGAGTGCCTGGGCACTCTGAAACAAGGCCTGGATGCACTGGGATCCCTGCATGTTGTCACGACTTCCAGAGCAGTAAACCATAAGGCTCTGGTGTTTAGTGGGATTTTGGAAGTGAGGTCAAGCAGCAGTAAAAGCAAGCAATGTAGTATTGCCATGGCCTAGTTAACTGCTTTGCACATTTGCACCCTTACAAATATTGTTGTTTAGAAATTAGGAGATAATGGAGATCAGATTCTGCTTTCCTCAGTTAACTGACTCCCTCACAGAGTCAATAACTTTTTGATGCCAGACTGGGCAAGAAGTATTTTTTAAGAGAAGAGCACTACAGTTTTGGGCCATATTACGGAAACTTTTGCTGTCATAAGAAATACAGCAGCAGTGACTACTTAAACACTATTTCACACAGTTTGCATAGTTTATTAATGTAAGCAGCCCTCAAATCTTTGGCCTCTCTCTGAGCTGCCCTTACAGCTGAGATGGCCCCTGCCTGTCAGTAGTAACCATAGCTGTGAAGTCAGTCAACGACTGTCAGCCAGCATATGAAGCCACATCCCTGCAGCATTCAGATCCAGCAGTTACTCACCATGTTTGTCTGCAGCACCACCCTCATAGATGGCAGACACGACTATCTTTCCAATTGGAGAATCAATCCCTCCTTCGACTGCAAGGTCTAGTGATCCTTCCTATTAAAGGGAGTAAAGAGCTGTTTCTACAGTTCATAGCAACACTGGAAGCTTGGCTTCTTCCCAGAAAAAAAAAAGGGGCCTCTACATGAAAAGCAGAGCACAGCAATTCAGTTTTGCCTCTCTCTCTCTCTCTTTCTCTCTCTCTCTCTCTCTCTCTCCCCTCTCCCTCTCTTTCTCTCTCCCTCTCTCTGTCCAGTATACGCAGTCAATAGTTAGAAGAAGAAAATGGCCATTATTTTTATATTATAGTAATAAAAATAGGCAGCAATATGATGAAGTCATCTTGCTTATTCCAAACTTTTGTCCTTTATTGCAAAATAACTCCAGTACTGCAAGACAACTTAAAAGTGGTGCATCACACTCTGCTATAGCTCAGAAAGAGGCAGTACTTACCCAAACCCTCTAAATATCTTCAGCCAATAACACAATATTTACCTTTTTAATGCGTAATAGCCGTACATCTTTTCCCAAAATCTGTTCTGGGGTAAACTATGAAAAGACATCATGGTTAGTCACATCTGCCTTGGAAACTGGAAGCATAAAACAGTTAAGCTCATGTATGCAGTTTACAAAGAAAAAAGGATCTTTCCCTGCTCCCAAATAGAGTTAGGGAACAACCAGAATGCCAGAACATCTTTTCCTACTTCTAGTGGCTCAAAAAGCACCGAAAAGCCCAAGCAAACCAACAAACAAGAATCTTCCTCCTTCCTCCCAGTTGTCAAAATCAAGGATAAGTTTTTTCCAGTGTATTTTGTATTAAACTATGAAACATATTTGTATTCTCTCCTTACCATTGAACATGGGTCAAAATCTTCCACATACTTTTGAAAGCCCTGAGGAAAAAAACAATGCTTGGTTATAAAAACATCAGGCTCATGCGCACACTTAACACACAAATCCCGTTTCATTTATTAGTGAGAGAGCATACAACTCTGTAAGTTATGAAAGAAGACCATAAATGGAGAAAAGCAGAGAGAGGTAGCAGATAGTCCATCCTGACAGTCAGAAGACATTTCAAACACTTCTGAAAGATCCGCAGTTACAGCTGGTTGTACTGTGGAATGGGAGCCAGCTCTCATCCTTGTCCAACAAGCATCTCCAACACTCAGCAAGCGCTGCTGAAGGACACCAGGCCACACGAGYAACCCTGCAGAGGCAGGACAGTTCTGCCCATTTCTCTCCAGGTGTTTGTTACCCGGAGCATGCAACGCTGGTGCTGATGCCTCTTGCATGGAGTGGCAGCCCTTACACTCAGGCCTTTGGAGTATTAAAGCATCAATCCCAGCTTTCTTGGAGGCTCCTTCTCGCCTCAACTTCCCTCTTGAGATCTGAAGATCAGCTTAAGCAACTAGCATAATTTTGTGACTACAGAAGAAACACAGACTTAAGAGAACTTCAGGGCATTATCTGCAAGACTGTCATAAGATTTTTTTCCCCCCTTTTTCCTCACAGGTAAAAAGGTATTAAAAGCTTCTTTTTCTGTAAGAGGACCAAAAGAGACCTTGTTCAGTCTTTAAATAAGCATGAGTTGCATTTGTTAACTGCTAACTTTAAGGAACTAAATCTCAGGGTCGTCAATGGAAAGTTGACCACTGATTTTAATGAGAGAGAAAAAATTATAATAAAAAATAACATGCATTGAAAGTATACCAATATTCTACTACAGCACTTCTATTAAGATTTCAAGACAATTATTTTACGATAACAGTCAGATAAACAACCAATAGCTTGAATAGGTGAATCTGTATTTGACCTTAGGAATCACGGMTGGAGCAACATGAATGATCTTGAGCAAAACAACTTAGAGCAAAGAACCCTAATCTCAGCCAAATCACTAGTTCATTAAGTAATCTAAAGCATGTCACTGAACTCCTTGTCCCAGGTTGCCCTCATGAGAAACAGATGTTGCACTTGAAGAAAGTTTTCCTGGGAAAATAATTTTCAAACAGGAAAAATATCCCCCCTGCACACACATAACAAAATACCTGCCAACAAAGAAATCATACAGTCTGCAGACAGGCACACAAGTATGGCCAAGATATGATGAAGACATCTTCTGCAGTCTAATAAATCTTGCAGAGATAGGTGTGTCTAATCCACAGAGCAGAAAAGTTAAAGACAAAATGTATTTCCTAAATGATCTATTGAACTCAGAACAGTCAAGCAAAGAAAAGAAAGCTTCACCATTTTAGTTATTCAAAGTTTGAGAAAGGAAAGCAATGGAAGATGTATTATGACAGAAAAATCATGCACAATAAGGAGGAAAGGTCAAATGAAAAAGTGTTTTCCAACCTTGGTTCCTCTGATTTCCTACCAACAGCTATGTTAACAACTCTATTGAAATACTAAAATATTTTATTACTGAAAGTATTCTAACCAGAAAGTACAACCAGCAAAAAAAAACCATGAATATTAAAAGAACAAACTTGCTCAATATCAGATTGAAGTTCAACTATCTTAAATATTTTTTTCTAAACAGGTAAGTAGCTACCAAAGATTCCTCCTGAAGTGTTTCCTATCCTCACATTCCTCATCTGCCTAGGCTAGCAGAAGGCACATGCACACTTTGCACGGACTAACAGTTTTCATGCACTAGGTCTGCATTGCACTCTGTTTTAGAAGTTGMACAGCACAGAAAGGAAGACAAGTTTATAAGCTGTGATCAGTCAAAACAAGAAGTACCACACAAAACAGGGGAAGTGTCATTTTACTTGTTTTTTGTTAGATCTAAATGATGAATTGTAAACCACCATCCTTTTAAACATCTCTTGTGGCTGCAAAAGAAAGAACATGGCCAAACCAAGTATTAACTTCTCTCTGTAAATAAGTATCACAAATAATCTCATTGCTTTGTTGCTCTTAAAAGGCTCAAATCACACTAGCAGTTGTTGGTGCTCGTTCCCTACATGATATCAAAATGGGAGAACACACACAGAAAGATAGAAATAAACCAAAAAAAAAAAAAAAAAAAAAAAAAAAAAAAAAAAAAAAAAAGGAAGGAATTCTAGAGAAACTACAAAACTAAAGCACAGTTCCATACCACAAGATTTCTTAAAAACATTTTCCATAACTCATCTAGCCTCTCCTCTGTTTCTACAGAGCTGTGCTGGAGCTTCTGCTGCGTCATTTCTGACCCAATCTTTAAAAACACACAAAAAGCCCAAACCCACAGATCAAAAGCTAGATCARTAATTCCCAAAATACTGAATACTGATGATAAACATACATTATACACTTAAGATTTTCTATTCTGTGAGGGATTCCCTGTGTAAAAGGGTGAATTTCATCATACAATTTGTCCGAGTCTTATGAAACAAAAATGACTTCCTGCATACTGAACTATGGTGGTTACATTTCCCAACTAAACAGACATTTTTGGCATAATTATGGCCAATTACATTAATTAAATTACACTTCTAAACATCACAGACTTGTCTTACCGTATGYATCTAAATACTTTTCTCAGATTCCTTAAGTTCTGCTGAATCGAGTCTCAAATCTTGCAAATTACGGGAATGTTTAAATACTTATTCTTCCCTTCTGAAATGCTGCATCCAATCACAAAGGAGTGGGGAAAGGTGATCTTAAGCAGCAGCAAATGCATTGAAATCTTTTATCTCAAACGTCCTCTTGCAGTTAGGTGGGAGAGAATGGCCCAGTTCTCACATTGGTTTTGCCTCTGAAAACTCCACCACTAATCCTCTCCTGTTCCCTGGGCCAAAACTGAAATAATTTTGTCATGAGTGTGTTCCAGTTCACTCTAATACAGCTCAGACATGCAGTTGACACCGATTTTTGACTCAAAACAGCCCTAGGCATTTGAGGCCACACTCAAGATTTAACTTTTGCRTGAAATCATATTATTATTGTTATTATTGTTTAAGCGCGTTTATGGAAAGAAGCAGCCTGTATGTCTATTTAGTTTGCACTGACATTTTCATTCTTAATTAAAAAAGAGTTGCCTCCTCTTCTTTACATTACTTCAGTATCCATACAAGTCCCATGAACTACTGCGACGTAGTCTGTAGCCAGGATGAATAAGCCTTACTGCACTGTCATAAAAATAAGGAGTTAAAAAAGTTAACAAAACAACTTTCCAATGTAATGTTTTTCTTCTAAATTCTATCAGAGTATTACTTTCCGCAAATCATGAACTTTCAACTAACACAAGGAAGTTTGGGAAAGAGGATGATTGACATCTGAAACATTTTAGCAGTMTTGTGGTTTGGAAAACGTGCACACAGGCATWACAAACCATGAGAAATCTCCCTATGGGGGTAGCTCTTCACAATTCTTACATTTAATTATAGGCAGTAAGCTAAAATAAACTAACCAACATTTTCAGCTTGTCCAGGACTGCTTCATCACATATAAAGGTGTATTCAGTTTTTCAAACTATTTTAGGTTTGCATCAGGTATTTATTTTAAGAATTGATAATATTATGTGTACATTATGGGTTTTACTTTTCTCATTCCTCAATACACTGCTTCTGTGTATATACGTGCATGTCTACACATATATGGACACATGGCCCTGATTGTAACAATGTAAGTCACAGTTACCATCCAGAACGAATGCTACTAAGTGGATTATCAGTTACCCTAGATAAATAGTTGCCCAAGACGCCTGGGCTGTCTTTTGGGAGTTATCAGTTAAACTSGCACAATTTCTATCTTTTCAGAGASACACGGCTCATCACCTTCCATATAACACAGTTTCCAAATCCAAATCCAAACTGTGCTACAGTTTTTGGTCCAAAAATATTTAGTCTAAGACTTTTTCTTCATTTCCATTTTATGCAGATGTGAAGAAAATAAGATAAAGATTCTGACTATATTTAACTTTGCAGGAACATCACATCACCATTATATTGGAGGCCAAGACATTAACAAAGTTTTTCTTTGGAAATGTAAGAATGGAATATGTATATCTATATATATATCTATATAGGTTTTTCAAGTACRTTCATGATTTCTCACAAGGGAAAGACTCAGCATTATTTTTTACTCTTTCAATTCTGAAAAATGCAAAATTTGCAAAAATACAAATCAGCATGAATAAAGGGAAATTAAGATCTACAGAGTCTAAAGCTCTATGCTTCTCTGGAATTGCACACCTCAGCACAAAGACTGTCAYGAAGAGTGACTTTTAGACCATGAAAACTTGTAAATATACTTTTTATACATTATATTTTTTATACTTTATACTTCTATACTTACCATCAGTGATCACTTGAAAAATCTGCATCGATTTTACTTAGCAAAAGACAAGAYGAACATCGATTCTTTGTCAAGTTAACAAGAACAAACCCTGCAGTATTGCAGCACTCAGAAAAGAACATAAAAAAGCTTACCAGGGCCTCTGATTTGATTGTTGGCCTGACCATTAAGTTTGGGTCAGGTTGCAGCATGACTGGTTTAGAGACTATAGGTACCCCTGGATGTCGTTGGGTAGGTGGACTTGGAGCAAATTGCTATGGGGGGTTAATGTAAGACAGTTACAATCCACCATTTATTTTGTACAAAAACATCACTTCACCAAGAAGACCTAATATAAATTGTTTACTGACATCAATTTACTACCACTAATACAACAAGATACCTGCACAAGTATTTTAACTCATTGCTCTACAAAGTTAACAAACCAAAACATCATTTCTTCTGCACCCAGATAGTGGTTTTTTTTTTTTTTTTTTTCCTTTTCCCCTCATTTAAAGTTCCTCCACAAACAAGATTATGGCAAATCTCATCCTTGCTTTTGGCATTAATCCCATAAAGGCAATGAACTGAATAAAGAGCTACAAAAAACTGCTTGGATTTGAGTGCAAAAACA